ACTCGAACAAAGCAGTTATACCTTTTATGCAAATTATATGTAAAATAGAAAATTTACATATACAAATACTGATTCATCATTACATATCAAAACTGCTGTAATGCAGACTTAGATGGGACAGAAACAAACTGTACACAGTATCATTGGTGAGATTCAGTCAACAAAGATTGTGTCCTTCTTAATGACGTCTGCAAGAGTCGCTCTCAGTCAGGCCAAAGGCCAACTGGTTTCCCAACTGGTCACCTTTTATCCAATTATCTGATGATGGAAATACTCAGTACTACACACTGTAATTGCACTAACTTAATTCCAATAATGCATATTATTTCTTCTATAATTTTGAGTTACTACAGTAAATCTAGTTAAGATCAGTTAATTTGGAGAAGCTTCCCAGCATTCTTAGCAGTTTTGTTGGTTTCTGTTAATTAACTGTTTTTTTTTTCTAATTGATGAATATAATTCTATTTGCAAAATATTATTTTTCTGTCAAAGCAAACTTTAATGTTAAATGTGAAGTTTGGATGCATATTACATCTCACTGTTATTCTCACCATGATGGTGTTTTGTGTTCAGGTGTATCAGTTCAGCCTACCACCATTGATGGTATCAGACTGGCAAATATGCATTAAGTTACTAGAGTTATCAGAAATTGGTGATTATAATTACTTTAGCTGTTTATTTCTTATTGTACAAAACAGTTAATTTAATGTAGTGGGGTTGTTGTAATTGATGACAATACATTACACAAGGAAATATTTGATTCAAGTTAACCTAATTCAACAGTAAGCAGGACTTACATTAGTTGGCAGTAGTCTATCTTTAAGTTTATGGTGCAGGCCACTGGTATGTCTGGTAGAATAGACTGGAGATGGGCATAAACAAGCCCTTATCTCATGTCACAGGCATCACAGAGACTCAAAAGCCAAATAAATATTATTTCTAGGTGTAAGAAATATATTACTAAACAAAAAAAAATCTTAAAAATTTAACTTTAATTATGGGAGATAATCTTTATCCCTTCAGAAGAAAATCAAGCTCCACTCTTGCCTCAGATTTGAAACCATCCACAGGTGTTTCTGTCCATCCTTCCACTGTGAGATGATGACTCAACACTGAGTATGGAAGGATGTGTAGCTGTCACAGAAGGAAAAAAAGAAAGAAAAAAAAAACAAAAATCAAACAAAGAAGGTGCTGGTTTGACCACCAGTCCAGAACTCAACATCACTGAATGCATTTGTTATTTTTTGATAGCTTACACGTCTAGAGTGATTATTTTATTAAAGTTACGACCCCATGTTTTGTCTAGGACGCTGTGGGATCAGTAACATGTGGCATTTAACACTGAACTAGTGATGACAGGTTAAAAGCTTAAGGAACAGATCAATAGAGGTTTTAAAGCTGTTTTATTAAAATAAACCATAATAAACTGCTGCACTAGTACCACACTGGAAGAATCAAACTGTGGACGGCACCAAAGAAAAGAAAACAAAACCTAACCACACTTGCCTACTCTGGAACAAAAAGTACTTAGCTAAACCACAAAAGAAAACCATGAAACAAAAGCTAACTACTCTACACTTCCCTGGCCAGTAATCAACAGTACATGTGACGGTGCATGTCCTCTGATCTAGGGAACTAGACAGAGCACACTTCTACATGGTGAGAATGTATAGGCCATAACTCAGTTACAATTAGGGGTAAACATAAGAAATGGGATTGGGTCTTAGTTTTAGTTAAAAGAAATACTGGTAAAATACCTAAAACAGAAGGACATGCCCAACACAAGATTAAAGCAAAAACTAAAACACAGCACACATGTGATCAGTCCCCTCTCTTCAGCCATCTTGAAGGCCTCCTTTTAGAGCTTAGGCTCCTCCCCCCAACTACCCCAGCCAAGCCTTTGATAGGTCAGAGGTTCTACCCACATAACTGATAGCAAAGCAGGTACACTTGTGAATGGAGAGACCAGGAGAGAGAGAGAAAGAGAGACAGAAACACAAAAACCCCAAAATATGTGCTTACACGAAACAAACAATACTCGTACGGTATGACTTTGTATGGCTTTACTTTTCTCTGCATATGTTATTATATGCTTTGGTCAGTATTCAGAGTTGAATTAACTGCCAGTTTACTACAGTTCTGTGAAGACTGTCACTCCTAACCTGCTATTTCCAAGAAACTGCATGTGGTATGTGGTTGTGAACAAGATTGTTCTGCTGACCGTCGTCTCCTTTTTGACCTTTTGTTCAGTTAAAGGTTATCAGCCCTGGAGGAAAACTTTCACCTCAGAGATCACACGTTAACATGGCTTGCCCACCACACCCCTGAAATCAGTCTTAATCTAGTTTAACAGCCTTGAGAATGTAATTACATAAGCACTGTGAGCTATTACTGCTGTCTTCATCTGGCCTCCTGATTGGGAAATTACTCAACACAACTGATGTTTGACAACTAATGTTGCCAGTATAAGGACTATGTATAGTGTGTAAGGCTAGATTTAGATGTGTGACTTTGTAACTGCCATTTGTTGAAATGGGCAGATTCAAATCAGAATTTAAGTTCTTAATTTCATTGTCTTTCATTGGTGACAGCATCTGTACTAACAAACGTCACTTCCTATGCAGCTAGACGTTGGATGTGCTACTTTTTTTCATTCCGCTCAGGGTTTTTTTTAGGAAAAGTGTCTTTACTTTTAGTCATTATTGAACTGATTTAGGCTACTCTACTCATGTCACCCACTACTGTGGCTTTCCATGATCTTTCGGGTTGTTTGCAAATGCTAAGATCACCAGTGCCTTCTTGCTTTTTGCCAATGGGTGATTTATCATAGCTAATGTTTTGCCTATTTCTTTGACTGGTTTATTCTCATGTTTCAACCTCTGGACAGCCAGCTTTCTTGGCATTGACACTTCTTTGATGAGAGACAACAGTGCGTCCAGATGTAAATACCACATCTAGAAATCAATTTTCAGACCTTTTGGTAGCTTTCTCATTTACAAATTAATGATTAACCAGTTGCAGTCCCCTGAAATAGAAGAACTTAAGGGGTGACTGCTACACGCTTCACTCACTCTGTATGTAAACACCCTCAAATCAGAGCTGACTTTTGTTTGACTTCATAAGCCAGGTTTCCATTCACATATTTTTCTGCATATTTTTTACATATCAAATAAAAAAAGTCTTGAAAGAAAAAGCAAATAAAATGCATAAATACAATATAATAGTCACCATAAAAGTACATTAGCTTGAGGTGGACATTTACCTATGAGCCAAAACATTATGACCACCTGCCTAATCCGCTGTTGGTCCTCCGTGTACCACCAAAACAGCTCCAACTTGCTGAGGCATGGACTCTACAAGAGCTTTTAAGTTGCCCTGTGGTATCTCATACCAAGACATTAGCAGCAGGTTTTTTAGGTCCTGTGAGAGGTGGAGCTGCCACAGAACAGACTTGTTCCAGCACATCCCACAGGTGCTCAATTGGCTTGAGATCTGGGCAATTTGGAGGTCAGGACAATGCCAAACCATTCCTAAACAATGTGTGGAGTGTGACAGGGCAGCTTATCCTGCTGAAAAAGGCCACTGCCATCGGAGAACACCACTGCCATTAAGAGCCGCATCTGGTTCATAATGACATTTAGGTGATGTGTGTCAAACTGATATCCACAGGAATGGACCCAAGGTTTCCTAGTAGAACACTGCCCAGAGCATCACACTCCCTCCACCGGCTTGTCTTCCTATCGTGCTTTCCGGTGCCATCACTTCCTCAGGGAAACGGACCTAGCTACCTTGCTTCATGGTTTGTCCCTCCTCGGACCACTGTCTTTAGGTATGTACTACTGCGGACCGAGAGCACCCCACAATCCTTGCCCTTTCTTAGGTGTTCTGACACAGTCATCTGGCCGTAACAATTTGGACCTTGTCAGGGCTGATCATTGGTCAGGTCTTCTCAGCTACCCATTTCTCCCTCATCCAACACATGGACTACAACAATGACTGTTCACTTACCGTCTAATGTATTCCAGTACAAATACAAACAGCATCCCCACTACACAGTCTTCAAAATCCAAGACTGTGCACCTGAGACTCTAACCTGTTAGCTAAAAAAAAAAAGTGTTTTCTTAAAAAAAAAAAAAAACAACTGAAGTTTGTTCTGTTCATATTTTCTTTTTGTGAAATTGGATTTATGTACTGTAGATAATGATGTTTTTATGTATGTTTAAAATTTTAAATTAACAGTACACATTAAGTTCAAATGTTTTAGAATTACCTGCTCACTCTGCATTTCTTCTGAAATGAAGAGTATTAATCAGGATTTGTCCCCCTTTGCTGCAGTAACAGTTTCTACTCTTCTGGGAAGCCTTTACAATAAATGTTGGAACATTGCTGTGAGGATCTGATAACAGTCACAAGAGCATTAGTGAGGTCAGGTACTGATGTTGGAGAAATCAATCTGGATCACAAACGCCCCTCCAATTCATCCCAAAGATACTGGATGGAGCTCCATCACTCCAGAGAACGCTGTTCCACTCTGCACAGCCAAACACTGGAGCACTTTATGCCCTTCTAGCTGACGCTTGGCTTTGGGCATGGAGACTTAGGCTCATGTGTAGCTGCTTGAGTGTGTCCCATTCAACTGCCGATGCTTTTCTATGGAGATTATACACAACTGAATAGCTGTGTCAGCAATGGGTGCACCTATGGGTGCAATGGGTGAATTCTATAATTAGAAAAGGGGTCTGGATACTTTTGGACAGTGTATCTTTCAAGAATTGGTTTCCAAGTCAAGGTGTTGGTCTTGGAAAATCTTAAACGATACCCAGCCCCAAATCAGCAGGATGACAACATAACAACTAGCAGGGACAAAGAAATTATAAAGCAAGACCACATAATCTCCACTGTTATATAACTCTATTATATATTGTATATATAATGATGTGAAGGGTTAATTCTGAGATTTTGCTGCAGTACAACCACCAATTCATTATCTCAGACACTCATCACAGAAAGCTCATGCTTTAATCTTCTAAAGCATCAGCTGCAAACATTTTCACTCCAAACTTCTCACAAAATAATAAAGCTTTCAGAAATGAAAAAGATTATCAAGAAAACTAATCCAAATAATTGCCGCTCCATCCTCTTTCCTATTATATGCTCATCACTTAAGTCCTCATTGAGTGGGTACAGTAAGAGGAAAACAAATCAAATAAAACAGATTTAAAATTAAACAGGATGCTTTGGAGAATAAGACTGCACACACAAACCAGAAAACAAACCCTACCTCACTTCCCCTAGACACTTCAACATGGAGAAGGCTATGGTGCATGGGTGTGCAGTTACTGTTTAAAAAATGCAGCTTCTTGTAATTGCAAACAATATCTTTCAACTTTCAACAACTGATCACCAAAAGCACTTACAAAATGGTCAGAATTTGGCTCACAAAAACATTTTTTTCTTTCAAGTGGTCAACATAGCGGCAAAAAGGACTGGGTGAGGATGGGCTTATTTTTCTTTCTTAACCATGTCTTATAAATAAATGTTCAGCCTGAGACATTCCTTTCAGGCATTTCGTAGCTAACTGCTCAAGTCACTGAGCCCCACAGCAGCACATTCCCCGACCTTGGAGTACACAGACATCCCTTGTCGAGACAAGGACTCATCCTGAAATTCACCATTAGTATAGTGGAAGATTCACTTTTATACTTTCAATACTGCCATTTGTCTTTCAAGCCACAATCAGGAACTGCCAAAACAGTGTCACAGCTGCACCAGGGCTACTAAACAGAACTAAAGCAAAACTTTTTTTCCAAAAAAATTAACATTTTCAAATCATGTCAGACACAAAAACTTGGGAGAAAAAAAGTGACACTTTTTGGCCATTTTTTGTAAGTGTTAAATCTTTGTTATCATAACAAAATCTCCAATATTGTAACTTTTTATGGGAAAGAAAAACATTTTCATTTTCAATGTTTGAAAGTAAAATTTGGACCATTTGGTTTCCATTCATCATACATTTTTTTACATGAGATAAAGGGCAGGCAGCCTTTCCAAATAGTGTTTAGTTAAGATGATGTGTCTATTGATCTGAATTGATTAACTCGACCTCTACTTTTTTTTTCACCTAACTCCCTACTGCCCTCTAGTGATGATTAATCTGGCCAGATTTTGAGCAACAACGTGTCTAACAATAAAAATATTGACTGAAAGCAATATCAAAAATGTATGATAAATTTGTATGATACATACAAATGCATTGCCTCTGTAAGAATATTTTAAAAAATAATAATTTTATCATTTGTACTGTATTGAATTGCACCCCCCAGACAGACATATACCTAATATATGCGTACACACACATGTGGTTCTGAAATGAATTTTCATTCATTTAGTTGTTTTAGATATGGCTACAAAGTATATTTAGTGGTGCTGGTTAAATGCCTGTGTTAAAAGTAACAAAACTGGCCTGCCAGTTTCAGCGATTCCTGATTGGTGCTTAAATTATAAACATTTAAACTGGAGGTCTCCCAGCCCTAGTCTGAGGCCAAGAAACTATAACTACAAGTGCAGGAGCGCACAGGCTTAGAGTCCCATGCAGAGGAACGGCGTCAGTCACGCGCTCATTTCTTTTGCAGTGTCTCCAGGTAGCCAATGAACCTCCGCAGGTTAATTTTGATGTTGTCCAGAACACAAAGTTGATCCGGGCTGTACTTCCCTCGTCCTTCTTTCCGGATCTGTTACACACACACACACACACACACACACACACACACACACACACACACACACACACAGTGAATGCATTTGTGTGTGCTAATATTTGTTAGGGGTGTAAAGCCTCACAACAATTCCACCTGATTATGATTCTGTGCACCAGTCGCCATGATTTGATTTAACTGGTCTGGTATGGTTAAGAAGTCATTTTTAAAAATAATAAACGTGACTGAAAAAAATGATTTACTCAAAAGTGGAACTCGTTTACTCAATTGAGTTTTTCTATGTTACCTATACCGAAGAATAACCTAAGAATTTTACTTTGTTGAAAAAATTAAGACATACTTTACAAAATATTTCTGTAATCAACAGGAATGTCCTGATCCGGTCCAGAGAATTGAGATCAGAGCAGATCCAGGCCTTTTTAAAGGATCAGGAATCAGCTATTTTAAGCCATGGGAATTTTCTGTTTGATTGGTTTTATTTCCTGATTTTCCTTTTATTCTATTCCATATTTTCAGTGTTGTATTTTTATGCAGTATTTTTTCATTTTTGATGCAGTTGAATAGAAACAGTCATGTTGAGGCATCACAGCGCATAAACGTATCTATACACGTCTAGGTGTAAGGGTGTGTGTGTGTCTCTCCCTGCTGGTACCTTGGCTTTGAACACAGGCTGTAGTGCTTTGAGAGCTGAGAACAGGCTGATGTTCTGTGCGGCTCTTTCTGCCTCCTCTCCATCAGCGAAAACATCAAAGAGAGCGTCCAGTGCCTCTCCACAAACCACCAGGTTGGAGTCCTTAGATGCTACATTCAATAATGCATTCCCTATCAGCTGAAACAGGAAAAATAATGAATATAATGTATGGCCAGAGCACACATTTTTTTATATATGTTTTATTCAACATATATAAAGAACATGCATGGATCTACATATGGGGTCATCCCTAAAGTCTTGGTGTTTTTCCTTTACAGTCTTACAATTGCCAAGTTTTAATTATTCTGACAAGTACCTTGTTTGTTCTGTTTCTATAACAGAATTAGACTACTGTATGTAACTCATTCACCAATGAATATAACCCCATATGACAACTGGAATCAAGTTGTAGTAACGTCTAACTTACCTGCAGTGTGTCAACAGAGCCTTTCTCTTTGGCCAGTGTGCTTCCTGTGATGCCCAGAATGGCCAGAGCGTTCACTCTTACACTGATTAGATCACACTGTGTTGCTGCCTCACACACACTCATCAGCTGCTGAGGGCTCATACACTGTAGAGCAATAACACACACACACACACACACAAAGTTAACATACACACAAACTTCAATTCCAAAAAAGGCTACATTGAATGCAAATAAAAAAAAAGTAAGCAATGATTAGTAAGCCCACTTTAATCTTTATTTAAACAAAAACAACCCAAAGACAAGATTCTTTACTGTTTAACCTTATCAACTTTTAATTAATGTCTGTAGCACATTCCAAAACGATTGGACAGGGGTACTGTTCATCACTGCATCCACAAGTTAAAACTGTACTATGCACAGTGGAAGCCAAATGTAAAGTGTCTAAAATTTTTGCTGACTTCTCTGGGCCAAAAAAGACCATCCAGGTTGTCACAAGTGTAAAGTTCAAAAGCCCCCTGCTATGTCATGGTATGGAGGTGTTTTAGTGCCCATGGCACCATTAACTTCCACATATGTGAAGGCACCATTAACAATGAAAGACATTGTGTGCAGCAACATATGCTGTCTTTTTTTAAGGACATCAATGCTTTCAACATAATGGCGAGCCAAATTTTGCATGTGTTACAACAGCACAGCTGTAATCAGAGAGTGTGGGTGATACTCTGGCTCGCCTACTGAAAACGTGTGGTGTATAATTAAGTGCAAAAAAATTTATTGCATTGTTGAGTAAAACTGGATAAACTTGTGTCCCCAGTCTCCAAACTATTAGTGTTGCTAAAAGGAAAGTTGATGGATCAGAGTGGTAAACACACTACTATTCCTACTTTTTTGGAACATTTTGTAGGCAACTATTAAAACCCTAATATATCAATATTATATATATTTAAATATTGAAAGATTTGCAGAGGAAGTGCGTGTTCCAACCTGAGGGATGTTTTTGGAAGCCATTATTTGTAGCAGAGAGCGCATGGCACTGGTCACTGCCTCCAAGAACTCGTCATCCTTCATGACCTCTAAAACATCAAATTACATGCTCAAAAAACGTGAATAAAAATGACATTTCCTTAAACCAATACATTCCAAGTGTATGAAAGAGTGAGGCAAGGCCTGTTGGTATTTTCTCGACCGTGCCATGGCATCTATGATGTTTCTAACCTTCTGAGCCAAAGACCAGAGAGGATAGATGCTGGGCGACGACCTGAAGCCCATCAGCCCCACCCAGACACTCCGGATCCATCACAGACAGGATGTTATGAAGACACGTTAATGCCCGGCACTGCACCCGCTGCATTCTAGGAACATAATGGTATGTTTTGGCCTTTTTCAAGATTTAAGACCTGAGAGGGCAATGTGTATATCAACTGTGAGGTAAATAATTAAGTAACATTACTTTTTGATGAGGCATCTCCACGCTGGGTCTTTGTTGCAGATCTCAAGCGCAACACGGCTGGGAAACTCTGCCTTCTTCAGGACCTGAAGAAAGAAACAAAAAGAGAGAAAGAGACCTTTAATTGAACATTTTGTTCAGTACAACTCAGGTCCAGACATCAAATAACTGCACAGATTTTTCCATGGTCAATGTCACCACCACAGCACGGATGAATTAGGACTCTGCATACCATTTATAATCTTGTAAAACTCACTCTGGCCATTGCTAGTTTGTTAAAAACCCAGAGGGTGAACTTTCTTTCCAAGTACAAATAAAAAAAAAAATGTAAAATTAAAGTCGCTCTCCCACAATGTAGTGTGGTTTCTCTCTGTATTTCAGAAAACCAACAAACCAGCATGAACTCTTAAGTTTCTCAAAGTCCCTGCAGAACAACTTAAACAGTGGGTGAAGTCTTAAAACCAAAACACTGAACCACTGTAGTATGGGTTCTCTGGAACTTTAGAAAACATCCATTACACGAAATGGGATCCAGCATCGCTATAAACAAAGGCAGTAACTGCAACAGCCCAATGTATTTTTCTCCACTGAAGATTTTAGTGAAATTAATATTGGTAACGGTATTTAGCTGTAAAAGTAATCAGGCATAAAAATTCATGAAAGGTGTGGTGTAGAGAGAATAGCACAAAAGTCAACAATTAAGCACCTGAAACATTTATTTTCTTTATTAAAACTTAAATATTTGGCTGAACAGAGATATAGAGAAAAAGAGCAAGAGAGAGAATAATAATTAATATATAATATAATAATTAATTAGGATGGCCCAAGCAGGCCTGACAGTAGGGCCATGTAACAATACAAGGTACTGTATTGAATCAAGCTGTAGCACAGCATATTATTTTGTATCACATCATGGTATTATAACTAGCAGTAGTTTGTTGTTAATGAGTTATATTGGGGCTAACGTATTAGCTTGTGGCTAAAGCATAAGACTAGAGCACAAGGCACACTACAAAGCACACAATTTCTTTAATCTATTGCACTTTTATAAAGCTGATGTTCTGATAATCTAAAAAATTAAACATTAGGATATTAAGGCACATTTTCAGCTACTCCTTATTTCTGCTTTATTGAATTGAGACACCGTGTTCTACCAAATTCTGAATTTTACAGCCCTCGTTTAGTAGCTCCCAAATGAAGACAGAAACACCCAATTAAATTTTATTTGTTGCAACAAAAATACGATGGTGAAAGCCAACAACTGTGGAAAACAATGGTGGTCAGCTGAAATAAATGTGATCAGCAGCTCTAATAGCCAAGATCACGTGATAATGTAATAATCGTGAAGGGTACAGACCCAAAGCAGCATGTGCACATGTAATGTGTAAATATGTGGTTAAGCAGGGCTGGAAAAGAACCTGTGGACTGTAACAGTAACAGGCAAGAGTGTGTGGGTGTGTATTACCTGCTGGGGCACGCTGTGGTTGAGCAGTGTTGTGTGTAGCTCAGCAGAAAGGCAGAGAGGTGAGAGCACACTGTTGTTCCCGTCTTCAGCAAACATCTCACTCTCATCACTGCTCGACATCTCCTCCCATTCATCATCAGAGGGGTCTACACAGACACAAACACAAAATCAATCCTCTTCAACTCGTCATTACTTCAGTATTTGCTTCTAGTCATTCCCTTTAGATGCATCCCCATCCTCCCTTTCGTACACATTTATGCACCAACATCAGCTACTATCATGACTGATCTACTGGTATGAGTAGAAACCTTGTTGATAAAGCACTGAACTGAAAGCAATCAACACTTTAGCAGTTTAATGCTAAGCTCATATTCATCACCTGCTTACTGCTAACACAGCAATCAAGACCAAACTGATCCAGTTAAACACAAAGCTGCATTACGGTTAAAATAACAAAATCTTATTAATATTTTAATAATATTTTACAGGCTTTGAGTCTTCGTAGGTGTTTCCAAATGAGTACTCAAATACTTGTTCTCAACACCACCCTAATAAAACAATACTATTTACACTTTGTAATAAACCTTTAACAAATATTTACATGTTTACACATCATTATTTAGGATGGACATCTCAAAAATGCTAAAAGACAGATGAGCCCGACTGGATTTTTGCTTACCAAGACGGCAGTGATGAGACAGTTTAGCTCAAGAAGTAAACCTTTGTTTAATGATGTGTTTTCATATTCAGTTTAGCTGGTTTACTGGATGGATGGCCAAGTTCATATTCCACTGCTAACTTTGATAGGTGAACATCTTATTCAGGATGAGAATCTGGCAAGTTATGTCAAGGTTTCACACTAAATTTGTCCAAATTTGCAGCAGATGATATATTATAGGGGTCAGCTTAAACAATTAGCTAGCCTGCTATTCCTGTCTCTGGTCCTTCGCTCCATGGCAGCTAACTAAGTGACTAAGGACACACTCAGCTTCTTCACCTGAATGTTGTTCAATAGTCAAAACTAGAGCCAAAGAAATGAAGACGTATTTGGACATTTCACTTGTTTGAACATTGTTTGCCATTTTAATGTCTTTCACTAATTTATCTTGCTTCAGTGTTTAAAAGGAAAGGGGGGGGCACAGCAAAATCGTAGTGAGGAGTGTGGCTATAACTAGCCTTTAGCTAAAATGAATAACATGCTTTTTTTAATCACCTAATATCACATCAATCATTACATAATTGCCATTTTTCTATATTTTATGATGAAATGTCTCTGAAAATTATCAGTAAGCCACAACAGTGCTCTAGGATTTAGTTGGGGTCTAGAGCATTAACACAACAAGAATCTTCAGAATACTAAATAAAAACAATTATTGGCATCAACCCTATTAATTAACAAAAGCCAATAAACTCACTAATATTACTGGAAAGCTACACTTCCCACAGCATTAACTTTATTAACATTAATTTAATTCATATTTATCAGTAACTTTATGCATATTATTTAAAACTTTGTGAGTTTCTGCTGTCTATTTGACTTGTTTTTGAGACAGATGAGAACAATTAAATCTGACATCCAGCAATCAGTCTCTAAAGCATGGTTTAACAAAATCTTTTGTAATCCTATTTTAGACTGTATTAAGTATTACAAGCTGACATTATCAGTTACCATCATTTTTAGCTCCTTCAAATTTTCCACATTGGCTGGTCCCTAAAAGAGAAGCCCACATAATCATTGCTATTCTCATTCAAACTCCCCTCTGCAGCGTCACACATACAAGCCTGACAGACATACACGCAAACATGCACGTACCATCTGAACAGCACATGTTGACAATGATCTCCAGTGATGTTTGCTGTGCTGTCAGCAGTGCTATGGCCTCCCTCAACTCCAGTCTGTCCCTCTGGACACACACACACACACAGGGGGAGAGAGAGTACAAGGATCAGTAACATTAGCCAAGGGTCTAGCTCAGTGGTGTCTGAGGACCACAAACAGTATTCAAGCACACGAGATTCAACTCAGGTCATCAGTTCATGTCTAGGTTTAGTAGATGCACTTGTGGAAATAACCAAAATATACTATGGGCCTAGCTTTTATGTCACAGTGCTTGGCTATTGCAGAAATATGTAACTGCACGCAATGCACGAGAAAAAAAATGTAACGCTGTTGTCAGTTGTCGGGGGTCCACAAGCGGATTATTCTGACTTTTGTGAGTGCGTTGAAAGAGTATTCGAAGAGAACTCAGTTAAAACTTGGTGAAGGACGTGTCTCCCAAGGATGTGAGTGAATTATCTTCTATTGTCATCATATCTTCATCAATATGGTGTTAATTTTCCATTTGAGACCTAAAAATCTCTTCTGGGTCTCTACGCATGGCGTTAATACTCACAGCTGCGCACGCTTGCCATATTTTAATGTGTTCTTTTTTTCCTGTATACTCAGTAATACTACTTCTTACAGATTTAACAAAAATATTACATAGTGCAGCTTTAAGTTGGTTCTCTTTAGTTCTCTGTCAGTTCTCTTTCCCAAGACAGCGATTATTGCCGCTGAAACACTGTTACTGGTTTACAAGTTACAAGGTACAAGTTCATATCACAAATTCTGTTTACTGTGGAAAAAGCTTTAAGCAGCCACTGCTCATGTGTCATTGTCAAAGTGAGTGAGGTCTGCTGCTCTACAAAGGATCACCAGGACAAAGGATTATTGAGTGACTAACAGTAAATATATGCCGGTAGGAAATTATCTGGGTGTACACATTTGAAAAAAGAAAAACAACAACAACAACAACAACAACAACAACAACAACAACAACAACAACCCCAGATTATTAGAAACACTTTGGTTTTCAGGCTATACGAAGCTTTAAAGGATGAGAACCAAATTTACAGGCAGTGAAAGGTAGCCAGTAACCCCCAGTTATTATTATTATATTAGCATTATACATCATGCTGACTGGAGGCATCTAGCTTACTTCTTTAGTATTCTAATCACAAAAGCACAGTGCGCCCTACTGACATTATATATGTTCCAATTCTGTTATACATATATAAAGCTGTATTTGAACAACTGTAGCAGACTCATATGTATCATACTGTATCACCACCAGTAGGGCTGCACACAAAACATTGAACAAAACACCAAATTACAATTATATCACTAAATACTGTGATCACAATATGACTTGATAGTATTTTATAACACACTGGTGAACCCCTGATGAGATTGGATTAAAGGCTGGCCTGCATTATGTTGTACAAAATTAGTTACAGTCGTTGAAATACATGAATAGCTTGGTTCATCAAAAAAACCCTCAGAATCTTGTCTGAATTATTAAAAAATTATTAAACTTATTCTAAATGATTATAAAATTAATTATTATAAGTTACTGCTCTATAGCCCAATGCTGAGGGGCTTTATGTTCCTGACAGTTGGGATCAGACATGGTGTCCTTAGGCTCATAAAGTAGCTAAATTAACTAATTCAGAAGAGGTGTCTTCATACTTTTGGACATATAGCAAGGCAGGGACTCAGGGACACATGACTATCCTGGGGGAAGGAGTTACAGCATAAGGTTTAGAGGGTAAAACAAATATCTTGTTCTCCTCTGGCTTATAGATGTCATTGTGAATTAGGAGCAAAACAGAGTGGCCTGGCCCGAGGTGAGACAGGGGTTATTGCTCTGACGGAGATACAGGGAACAGGGACTACATGGGGATAAAGAAAGAGCACAGTGAGAGGAATAAGGGCTGTGACTGACCTTATTTCACTTCACCCATTAAACATGTGTATATACACATGAGTACCTTGGAGGTGCAATGACCCCACAATCACTCAGAGAAGACAAAAATGACATCCTGGCTACAGTATGGCATTTGGGGTTAAAAATGTAGTCATAGTTAAATCCACATGCAGTCATATTCCATATTGTACAGCTTTATAATAACCTGCAAAACTCCTGTTTATAATTCAAACTGCACAATAATCTTGTAAATGTAAATTTTAATCCACTATGTTTTTAAATCAAGTAATTGTGACAGCCCTATATACAATCAACAAATTTTATAATAACAAAACTAATATCCAGAAATGTCTTGTATTTCAAATTCTCAAACCTATCAAATTACTGAACATAATTACAGGATATAATCATTTAACAACATTTTTTTTTCTAATACTTGAATATGAAGTAATACATTTAATAACATCTCTTGGTGTCTAGCTTACACTTCCTAAAATCCAGTGGTGAACATTCTTATTAAGGGTAACAAAATATTATAAGTGATTCCAAACTGATGACCGGTAGTGTAAGTAATTTAAAAAAAGTTTCCAAACTTACAGGCAAAAAGTCTGAGATATCTTTATCCATCTTTGCCTTTTTTCCATTCCTCTTTCCTCCGTTCATCTTCACTTCTCCATCTCCTTCCTCCATCTCTTCCTCTTCCTCCCCAGCACCCCCTGCTGGCTGCTCCTCTGTATGTGCTGAAGCTGGCTCTGCTGTGCTGTTGTTAGAGAGCCGGGCTGCCTGGGCCTGCCACAGCCCAGGGACCACTGCTCCAGCATCTAGACTGAGGCAGTGGGCTAGAGTGGCCACCACTGCGGTCAAGGCTTCAGCCTGACGTGTGGAGGAGAAACAGCCCTTCAGGTTCCACACTGATCCTGAGAGAACAGAGGGAAAGCCATCGGTTATTTCAGCAGGACACATCAGCCTTTTTCTCTTGTGGCTCTTTAAGTTCACTAAGCTGCCTGTGAAGCGCATGGCTGCATGGCAACATGCAAGCGGTGGTGGCCCATTCTGACCGATGGAACTCGCAGAAGCTGACATTTATTACTGCCTTTTTGCCACGATTAACTTGCAGTATAAAATTATTTTTATGTAAACAGTAGATAGTTATGTAAAGAATAATGTTTGCATTAAATCTGTATTCTGGATTGACTAAATCTAGACTGGACATATCACTTTTTCCAGATCTGTTCTGATGTTAACAAATGACAAACATAAATTTAATGGCACAATAATCTTTCATCCAATTTAAAGGGGAATTCAAATAATTTTTCAGACTTCCCGCATAATTCAATTGCTAAGATTCAGAGTGGTTTGATATGCAATGGATTCACTGTAGATAAACTTACTGACTTCGATTTCTTTACAGTGGTGGTGACAGGTGTCTACAATGCAGATACAGCCACTTTATTTGCTATGCAAAATGACCAGCGAACGTACAAATGTCTTCAGAGTTTATATTTGTTATGTTGATAATAGTAAAATAAAGGTAAATTTAAAAAAAAAAAAAGTTTTGTTCAGGTACTATTTTGACTTACAAAGCCCTGCATGTACCCCTCTGCCATAAGTGGCTATTAAAAGTAATTTGTTTTAGGCCAAAATCTTACCTCGAAACTATCATAAAACAATGTTTTACGAATCTAGCAACACATTTGTAACCATTTCTTGTAAAAACTTTGTGAGGTAGCTTCGCATCAGTTCCTATCAATTCCTGACTGGTAAGCTTCACATTTCACATCAAATGATCTGAATTACTTTGTTTACATATTAAAGATAAATTACATAAAAACTTGGAAAATCTGTGAAATCCTGTTTTATTTATAATAAAATATCTCTACTTCTTCAGCTCTTTCAATAGAATCTTTCTGGTTTTAAGCTATGAGTAAGAAATAAATAAACCATGTAAGAAGAGGTGTTTCAAGGTATTTCATTGAGGTTAGAGATGTATGAAAAACCTTCTCATCTCTAAACAATTTTAACTAGGAGAACAGAACTAAATATTTTATCAGCTGTACCTGCAGCCAATGTGCGCAGGAGAACGTGTTCCATGCTGGACTGTGTGGAGAGCAGCACGTTTTCCAGAGCAGCCAAAACTGCTTCATTTACACTTCCAGTCAGCTCTGAGTTCTCCTCTGTCACTGTGTGCAGGCAGTGGGCTGCACATACATATATACAGAAAAAGCATTTAGTCACTCACAGCAAACATACATACAATTACGCAGTCACAGTGGACCCACAGGTTTGCTCTTTTTTGGACGTTTATTTAATGAGAAATCAAGGAGAGAAAGAAAGTCAAATATCCAGTGATTGTCCACATAAAACCAACTTTACTGCACATGAATAGTGCAATAAAGTTGGTTTTATATTGGACATTTGTTGCATATTCAATTGTCTCTTCTTGATTTCTTATGCAGTGATCAAACCTACACTTTCTCACTCCTGAGAAAACAGAAAAACTACAAATAAAAAAAAAAAAAATCACTGAACATAAGAGTTCAGAAATGCAGATCACTGCTTTAAGGGACTGTCTAAAAATGTATAACATTCAAGTGTTATTTCCCAGGTATTTAGCTAAAAGAAGGCAAAACACTAAGTCATATCACTTATAGTATGCTTACAGAAATCACCCTCTTGGCTACAAGTGATTTTATATTCTACCAGTTATGTGATTTTGCCTTGTTTTTGTTAAATGCATGTGAAATATATTATGCACTGTTTAGAAGGTCCTTAACAACTAAAGCATTTGTAATCTGAATTTCTGAACAATTACATGCAGTGAAATTTACAGACAAAAATATTTAGAATATGCTTGTTTGTAGTTTGTTTACTGTCTACTCAGGAGTGAGAGAATATAGGTTTGATCATAGGTTTTTTTGGATGTTTAATTTATGAGAAATTAAGGAGAGAAAGTTGAATATCCAGCAAAAGTCCAACAAATCCACCTTTACTGCCCAACTTTGTTCTGGCCAACATTTAAGCACATCTGAAATAATATTTGGGGCTTCATTGCTTTAATTTTCGTTTTGCAGAACTCTTGTATAAAGGCAACAGAATACTTGAGGTTATGTGTCATCACAAACATCACACTCCCTCTCCTGTTCTACTGCTTAAAATCACTCATAGTGTGCGTGCATGTGTGCGTGTCACCTGCTGATAAAGCGAGCTGGATGTTGTGTGGATGTCTCTCGAGGCATGGCAGCAGAGCATCCAGAAGCCTGGCTCTGTTAAACACTGACACTGCTGTACTGCTGCTCTCACTACACACAAACAGACACAAACATCAACTAAATAACAATATAAATATACACACTTCAACATCTTACACAATACTTTAACACTAGATCCAGTGATGCCAAACAGCAGACAGCCTTCAAGGGAGCATTTAAGGGCTGCATGCTGGCGTTCACCGTCACAGCTGGTAATGTCAGTATTGTGAAAACCCCTGCACTGATATTGTCCAGGACCAAACTGAGCAGAATTTGGTGAAAACATACTAAAAACTGTTCCAGAAAATCCAGGGTGTTGCCATTATGCAAACCCTGTTGGCATGCAGTATTGGCAACGTGTGAATTTGAAACAGTAAAAGAAGTGTGTGTACCAGAGGTTCCAGAGTAAGTTCACAGCCTCATTTGCCACATCTTCCACTGTGTGCTTCTCTTCCTTTTTCACTGGGCTGGAATTCACCTGGAACCCTAAAGAGCACTGCCAGAATACAAAGCCATCTATTATTAAGTTTTCAAACGCCACTTTAACTAATCACATATAATCATTTTAAAAAGGAAGCAGAGGTTCACTGAGGCAGTGGTGTGAACAGTCAGTCTTTATTAAGTCTGGGCTAGTTTTCATAAACTATCATGTACAGTCAAACTCAATATAAGTAACTGATTAGAGTGAGGAAGAACAGATACTCTGTGCACTCACTGTACTGGAAAATACAGCACAAAGGAATGACATTTCTCACTACCAGTACTGAGTACTTTAAAACACAGTTATCTGTGCTTTTTGTTATAGAAGATTATGCATTACTGCTGTGCACATATACACTTTTTTTATACAAAGTGTTTTCTGAGAAGGCTTAAAAACAAAGAGCTCTTGTACTTCAGAAGCCCTCCATCTTGCACCATTTTCCAAAAAGGTAGCCTACGCCATCTTTCAAATATTTTTGTCGTCAATAATGTGACATTATTGAAGCAACTAAAGATGGGTGATATGGCAAATACACACATCAACAAGTTACTTCAAGATGTTTTCACGATACTCAAAATAGATCACAATATTTCTTTATTCAGAGTTTTGGGACGATAAAAGTTGGAACAGACAACAAGCACCAGTCATACCACATAAGCGAAATAGTTTATAATAAACATTATCAAAAATTGAGTATATTGTTTTTAACCATATCTCATAAAACCTGACTACTTATGCTATGTAGTATGATTATAATCTTATTCATACAAATATTTTAATTTGTAATGACACAACTGTTGAGTGCTCTTTTGGTACTGACGATATCCAATAGATGCTCACAAAAGCTTACTGTGATCATTTATCATAATAACAATAAAATATTGACATATTGCCAACCTTTAACAGCAACCTAGCTAACTTTTTAACAACTATTAACATAAATCACACAAACTGGTTGTTAATAACCTTTTTAAGAGCTTCTCATATGAATTCTGTAAAATTTGTCTGCCAATTTTCTGGATTTTAACTTAAACTGTACACCTGGCATGAAATTTTAAATGAGGACCCTGGATTGAAAATGGTGGTATTCATCCCACAAGTAGCTTTAATCGCTGATCTGAGAATCGCACCACAGTGTATAGTCCTGCAGTCGCTTGTGCATTGTTTCCCACTAGATGCTCTCACCTCCTTCAGTAGGGCAGTCAGAGGAGTGAGGACATCCTGTCGCACCATGTCTTCACACACATCCGGACCTCCACACGCACTCAGATTTCTGTGAAACACAGACATTATTCTTTAGGCAACCATCCATTAGGGGGTCCCAGGCTTCCATTCAAAACTACACACCTTTGATATAACTTCATTGTATTAGCCAAACAATTCAAAGCAATAACTGAATAATAAACTTAAGACGGGGATCAGTACAGACTTATCACTGTCTTTCTCAGTGACACTATTTGGCCATAAAGCCATAGTACAGATGTGGAAGTATTATCAATCTCTGAGAAGTGTTTTTGTAGTCATGTTTATGACCTGATATCTCTAGCTGTTGCCCTTGTTGTATGCATTTACACGGTTTACCTGAGTGCCCCTGTAGCAGTCTCTCTGACTGCAAGGCTGCTGTCCAGCAGTAGTGGTCCCAACCTCCTCACTGCATCCCTCTGCAGGAAACCTGGGATGGTCTGGCTCTGCTGCACAACACGCGAGATACTCGCACATGCATACTCACGTATGTCTGAACATGGACTCTGCAACTGAAAAAAAACAGCAACAGGCAGTCAAACAGACAGTCAGCTGGACAGAAAGGCAGCGTGTCAGTCAGTTGCACAGAAAGACAAAGAGACATAAGGACTGTCAGTCAGCCAGACAGACAGACAGACAGACAGACAGACAGAGAGACACAGGGACTGTCAGTCAGCCAGACAGATACCTACATCTAAAGTAGAGGGAAGTTCACTCTCATTCCATTGGTGGTGAACTGAACTAACACTTAACGTTGCCAATCAACCATAACAGTAAAACGACCTCCTTGTTTATACACTCTTTGTCCATTTGATCAGCTCCACTCACCATACAGGCGCACTTTGTAGTTCTACAATTACAGACTGTAGCTCATGTGTGCTGAGAATGATTCACTACCCAAATAACACTTGCCCTGTGGTGGTCCTGTGGGGGTCCTGAGCACTGAAGAACAAGGTGAATGGGGGCTAACAAGAAGACGGAAAACAGTCTGTAATTGTAGACTGTTTAATGTTATGGCCCGTCTACACTATAAACAAACCTAAATGTCTCAGCTGATCAGCTACAAAAAGATTCCAGACCGTACACAAATATCTGATAATGTCAAGAGAAAAAACAACGCTGGACAGCGAACACATGGACAGGCATGATCAGATTCTAATTCAGGAGCCTCGCTAGCTCAGACTCAAACACCTTAAAAAACTACAGTTCGGGAAAATAACTCGTTTCAGAAGCTTATCTTAGGCGCAATTTCATCGTGTGGTTTTAAGAGAATACGTGGTGAAGGGCAGCAGAAAATGACAGCAGCGCTGCTCCTGCTACTGAAGTGAACCCGGTTAGTTAGCATTAGCGCTTAGCTCAGCTAGTTAACGTTACCTTTTCCAAAAAATCCACAGCCGGAGATTCCTCCGCCTCCGCCTCCGCCTCCACAGCGTCCTTAACGGCGCCTACGGAGAGCCCATCCGGCGTGAACTGCGGCCGTTTGAATCTGGTATTCTTGGTCTTTCCCATTGTGCGCTGTTTCAAGGCGTTCAGAGTGAAACGTGACTTAGACGAACTGCTTTCACTGCCATGTGGACGTTGGCCACCTTCCCAAAACCATAGCAACGTGCCGGAAAGCAATGAGAACTGTCGCACGTGGTCGCAAGGCAAAATTCCAAAGGCAAAAGCATGACTGCTAAACGCCAGAGGGCGCCCGCGAGAGAGTCCTCAATGAATGTAGTGAATGGAGTTCAAATGGCTAAAAAGAGAAAACTTAAAATAGTTTTAACCATTTGTCCAGGACCTTGTTTTGATTTTACTGCCACTGAGTGCTTCTTTTGATTTTACTGCCACTGAGTGCTGATTGGTTAGCATTACTTCGGCTGAGTGCTAATTGGTCAGCATTACTGTTACAGAGTGCTGATTGGTTAGCATTACTGCTACAGAGTGCGGATTACCATTACTGCCAGTGCCATATTGCTGAGTACTGACTGGTTAGCCTTACTTCTACTCATTGCTGATTGGTGAACATTACTGCCATTAATGCTACTGAGTGCTGATTGGTTAGCACTGCTACTGAGTGCTGATTGGTTGGCATTACTAGTACTGAGTGCTGATTGGCTAGAATTACTGCTACTGAATACTGATTGGTTGGTGAGCAGAGCAGCTCATTGTCTGAGTGAAGCGGTTCACGCTCACTGGAGTTCAAAAGCTCTCAAAAATATAACAGCAGCATTAGAATGTTTTATGCTGTTCTGGGTTCAGAAAACGAATGCGGTCTTCTATATAAAAATATTTACACATTTACAAACTGTGATTTTGCTCAAATGTTCCATTTTAACCCATTAATTTTGGACTTGTTTGGGAGCGCCCTCTAGTTTCACGAGACCCACAAGACATTACAGAATGGCAATTCTCCTCTCTACAAGTTCTCTGGTCTTTTGTGGCACTACAAAGTCTTGCAGAGCATTTCAAAGAGAAGACAAGATGTCTGAGCCATCAGTCCCCAAGGCTGGACACGGGGAGTAACAATCGAGCAGGAACACATAGCAATGGCTGCTGATCTGTTTTCCTGATCTCAGGGGCAACTGTTCTAATCATCAAGAAAAAAAGCAAAAGATGATATTCAATCGTACTGCAGGCGAGCGACAAAGAATGCACATGTGTCCATGTCTAATCCCTAACAGCATTAACGTGAATCCACCCCCAGGCTGGCAAGGTAGAGCACCTCTTCAAAAGTCCCTGAAGGACTTCTTGACCCTGAAATATGTAACTGAGGAGCCATGTTGTTGCACCATTTTTCAGAAAGGGCCAATATTTTAGAAAACCTAATGTTCTTCTATTGTTTTGGAATAAAAGAGTTCTATGTAGTATGTATACATTGTTAATGTTTCAAAATAGGCCATTCGCTCACCAGTCCATTTGGTCCTTTTATGGAAAATAAGCTGCAAAAGTGGTCTGTTCTGAATTCTATGATGTTATGAAAACCATTGTATTTACATATGTCCCATTTTATTTAGCCTTTTGCAATTTAAGCCAGTTGCAGCCTAGATTCAGGAATGCTTCAGCTCAAACTGCTTTTTGACAAAGGCACAATACAGGGCAGCCATTTAAAACAGAGGTCATTTACATCAGTCTTAAAGGTGAGTTAAAAACAGCCTCTTTAAACCTAAGGAACAAAGAGAGGTTAAAAATGGTCTTACGAAGTGAACTGTCACTGTTTTGGTACTTAAACCCACCCAAACATAATATGTGGACCTCAGAGGAAAAAATAAAACATAAGATATGGGCCCTTTAACATAAACTAGTCAGACTATACTAGGGATATACCAGCATTTTGTCTTGGGAGGGCCAGATTGCAATGTTTGTGACCAAAAACAAAAAGACCAAAAAGGTAGGTTTTTAAAAATGAGATTTTATGACATTATATTTTTTTTCCTAAATTACTTCGAAAAGTAATAATTTGATATGTTATATACAGCGTAAAAATATGCTGTCTCATTGGGTGAGGAGGCTGGGTTAGGTTAACTTGGCCTCATTGACCAGTTTTGGTCCACTGGCCAGGCTTTGGGCAGCCTTGGTCTATACAGAAAAAAAGGAAAAATGTAACTTGCAGTGCCAGTAACTTATATCTATTAACTACAGTACTCTTACCAATACTGTGATACTGATTGCATTGGCCATTTATGGCTTCCTTTGGATGCACTGTAGAAAATGAGGAAAGAACAGGGTACTGAGGGAGCAGTCGCTAGCTGGAGTGGACCGCTGCCCTATGCCCCCTGCCCCCACCATCTCCCATTCATCCAGTGAAAAATCTATCTTCGCATTGCGCGTGGCAACCCGCCTCAGCGATTGTCTGGGGAAAGAACTTGAGAGCAGGTCAGGGACCAAACTTCACCACAAATCTCTATTTCAAAATCATGCACACACGCCACGCGAATGCTGCCATGCACACTGAGGGAGTCTTAGGGAGGAGAAATGAAGTAAACTCTAAGACATTAAATTATATCAGGGGACGATTTCAACATCAGATGCATCGTAAAGAACTTTGAGTGAGACACACATACATAACACGGATCCAGCAAATTATCTCTGAGCCCACGTCCATCCGGCAGTCAATACAGTACAGTGAACGGGATCATTACTGCTCTGACTACACTATAAATATGCATATGGATCATTCTACTGGTTCAAAGTCAGAGTTGAAAACTCATTTTGGACTTGTAACTGACTGGGACTTCAGACCAAAATCCTTTAGCTTTGTATGATCCTATGCCTTAGTAATGACTACTTTATTTAAAAAATGATTGCACATTTCATTACATCACTACCAATACAAGCACAATACTACAGAAACTTTCAGTAGTGACTGTTTCGGTAGTGACAATTTTAACTCATTTTGAGCAGAACTCAAAAACGATAGCCAGTACAGCTTTGAACAGTTGTGCACAAACAAGTACATATTTTACCTAAAACACAAAAAGTTTACGTAACTGCAGAAATTATGTGTTTCAGCAGCGACAATTTTTAATGTTACACACTGATTTTTAGACTTTGGGACTTTGGGAATCATTTACTTCAAACCAGTAGGAGCTAGCTGCTCACCATGTGGCCATGAGGGACAGGGATGCAACCTCACTTCCTGCTCTAAAATGCAGGGGTGTGGCTACAACAAGGCTCCACCTACATACTAAACTGTATTTTGGTAGCAACATGAAAATGTAGGTCAGGATTTTTTGAATAACGTTTTAAGAAATTAAATTCATGATAAAAGAAATAAATTGTTGAAAAAATACAAAAAAGTTGACATTTAGTGGTTAGGATTTGGGACAGCTACTTCCCAATACAAAGTACCCTATAAATGATACTTTTATATATATTTAGCTTAATACTATCTCTGTTAATGCCTTGGTTTAAATAGATCGTAACAGAATTCTTGTAAAAATGTAAGGTCTGAATATTTAACAGTTTTTAAATAGTTTTTTTTTTTTACTGTGGGCCTGCAATTTGAGATAATTCAGTAGAATAGTCCATTTATAGTAACATACATATACTGTATATCTGTGGAGTGCATATGCAATTTGGGGTTTTGTAAAGAATTCTTCCATAAACGCTGAACGACCACATCTAATGCAACCTTTCTGAAAGAACACACATACACATTTATTTGCAAGAATGCTGTTTTATTTGCAGTGAGAGCACGACCACCTGATTTGAAGACGGTCAGGTTTTGAGGGACTTTAAAGTCAAAATCAGAGACATTTTGCAAATCTGATGCCAATGTGTATTCCAACTTTCTAAAAGTGCATCCTTTATTTTTCATTGCCAAAACCCTGCTGTTATACTACTGTTTTAAACTAGTAGAGATTCCGATTTACAATGCAAATGTTTAAAGATTAGATTAGATTAGATTAGATTAGATTAGGATTCGTTACTGTCCTTTGCTATCACAGTCTCTGCCCTTCATTCATTGTACTGGTACATGCAGAAAACAGACATTAGAAATTCCATACAATCATATAAACACAAAAACATAAGTACAGGCAGCCCCACACATAAAGCACCAATATAAGGCTTAGCATTCAGTCTGACTACACCATTGATTGTTGATGTCTGCATTTCTATATTCTTTAAATCTCAGACGTTGATTGAGCTCAATTCTTGCACTGTAGTTTCACAGCTTTCCAAAACGAATGATTGGCCCCTGCACTACTACATTTCATCACTAGATGGCAACATTGACCCATACTGGAGGCCTCCAGTGCAATTTTTCAAAACTTTGCTGAACAATTTCACACTAATTCAGAGTGTTTTAGGGTGATGAAATACATGCACTGGTTCAAATATTCATCAGCACTAGAGCATGCAGAGACTTGGAGTTTAAAGCATTTCTGAAAGACCGCTTGAGTCATGGACCACCCCATCCCCACTGAAGCGCTGCTGGATCGCGCCTCGGCTTGTACGTGCACCTGAACAGCCTTCTCTTCTATAAAACAAAATAAGTAAAATACTGTTCCAGTTTAAAAACCCTGTAGATTTTGTTTCCTCACTCTAACATTTGCAAGGCTAACGCTACAGTTCCTATAGGGCTATAGCCATGCTTCTACAGCAAACAACTGCAAGCGATTATTGTAAAGCATAAACGCGAGCCTTATTTTTCTCTGTGCCCCCAATTGACCCCCTCCACATGCCATTTTTTCAGTGAAGTGAATTGAAGGAGACATGTTTGTTGTATTGGTTGGCAGGAGGCCTGAGCATTCTTGAGGATCTCAACCACAGTGCTTTGCTGCAGACAGAGAGCAAAGGGCAAAAGAACACATTCCTGCAGTTTTTTCTTCTTTTTTCTCTCCTTTTTGACGCCTATTCTCATTCACAAATGAGGATAAGGGTCCCTGTTCATCTTCAGCTGCTGAATTCCTGCTGCTAGGTTGGAATTATCATTATTATAAGCATGAAGGAAACTGCTTCATGGAGAAAAACGTGGTCCACAGGTACACAACTACCTTGTATATTAGTAGTATAAGCCTAATAGAATGCACCTAATAGCACCTTTCAACCTGACCTCTATCGGTCATATATGTATCATTCTGGCAATTACCACGGACAATCATTCTGAAGCGTCCAGGAACCCT